GAAAATCTCATTCATCAAACTTTGGAAAGTGGCTGGGGCATTAGTAAGCCCAAATGGCATTACTAAAAATTCATAGTGACCGTCATGGGTGCGAAATGTTGTCTTCTCAATGTCACTAGTATGGACCCTGATCTGATGATATCCTGCCCGCAAATCCAACTTCGAAAAAAATTGAGCACCAAACAACTCATCCAACAATTCATCAATTAAGGGTATTGGATACTTATCCTTAATGGTTCTCAAATTTAGAGCTCTATAATCCATGCACATCCGCCAACTATTATCCTTCTTCTTAACCAAGAGAACTGGTGAAGAAAATGGACTGTTACTGGCTCTAATAAAACCCGAATCCAATAATTCCTGAACACACTTTTCGATTTCAGATTTTTGTAAGGGACCATACCGATAAGGCCTGGCACTGGGAGGCTTGCTGCCGTCCAAAAGAGGAATTCTATGGTCATGAGAACGTGAAGGAGGAAGTGTGGTTGGTGCTTGGAATACAGAAGCAAATCGAGATAATAAGCCCTCTAACTCAGTTTCCTGCAGAACAGTGAGATCCCCAACAATAGCAACCTGAGTCTCGGGTTCTAGGAAGAAAAGAACGACACCAAAAGGACCTTGAGAAAGCAATTTCTCCACCTGACAGGTTGAAATGGACGTTGGTGCAGGAGGTGGAGAACTAGAAATACAATAGTGCTTCTTGCCCAAAGTAAATTCCATCTTGAGTTTGTCAAAATCCCAAAGAATAGGACCTAAAGTTCTTAACCACTGAGCTCCCAAAACCACATCACAACCACCCAATTGTAGTACATAGAAATCAGAAATATACTCATATTGTTGAATCTGCAACTTAATTTGAGAACAACAACCTTTACTGGCAATAGTACCCCCATTTGCAATCATCACCTCAAAAGAATGTTTTGAGTCAACCTTCCACCCCAACTGTTTGGCAACAGACAAACTAATAAAATTGTGTGAACTACCCGAATCCAACAATACAATAACTGGGCAATTCTTGATTAATCCCGAGACTTTCATAGTCTGAATATGTTGAGGAGCCGATGAACCAAAAACTGCACAAGCCGTGATTTCCACCTGTTGGTCATCACAGTCCTCACCATCGAAATCTTCAATCCTATCAGCAGAGACATCTAATAACAGTAGTTGTTGAGTAGCACACACATGCCCCCGAACCCATTTCTCTGGACAAGAATAACACAACCCCTTTTTCCGACGATCTTGAATTTCTTCAAAGGACATTTTCCTCATATTACTAGCCCTAGATGTGCTAGAAGAAAAATTACTACTAGATAACAGAGGCACAGATTTTGAGTTGGTAGCATTACTGAAAGAAGAAGCAGAATTTCTGGAGAAATTTCGAACCTTGGTATCAGATAGTTTGATGTCCACTTGGAAGGCCAGCGCAATTGCCTCATGTACATCAGATGGGCGAAGCAATTTGACGTCATGACGTAACTCCGGTTTCAGGCCGCCGATGAAACAACCACGTAGCATGACCGGACCTATCTCCGTAGTCCGATTCGCCAATCGACGAAACTCCGAGACGTACTCTTTGAGGGAACCCAACTGCTTCAATTGAACTAGGGCTTCGGTAAAATCCTCAAATTCAAAAGGCCCAAATTCTTTACAGAAGACATGAACAAAATCTGCCCAGGTTGGGTGATTCTTGATACAATTCCTCCATTGAAACCATTGTAAAGCTTCGTTGTCCATATGAAAAGAAGCCATCCGTACCTTTTGGGCATCGTCAACCGAGAAATAATCAAAATAGTGCTCTGCCCGATAAACCCATGCCAAAGGATCATCGCCATCAGAGAACCGAGGAAACTCAAGCTTGATCAATGGCGGCCGTGGGTGAAATGATGAATCTTGACGGAAAAAACGCTGACCCATATGATCAACTCGATCGGACAAGGTTTCTTCAGAACTCCCCATTGGATTTGAAGAATTTCCAAGATCCCCGGGAGCACGATGAGGACGATCAGCACCAGAAAAATGAAATTCCAAGGCTGCAAATCGAGACTCCATTGATGCTATGACGGTGGACAAATTCTGCATTGTCGACCCGATCGTCGCAACGGAAGATTGGATTTCCTGAACCGACCCTTCAAGAGCTGCTACTCGTGTATCCATGGTTTTGGCACGCGTCGTCGCTCGCGTCATACAAGAAGGGAAACGTGGAGGATAGTTACTGGCTGATACCAATAATAGAACCCCTTGTTCTAACCTTGCACATGTATGCTAGTATTTCTCTTGTATTACTCCAACAACTTCTTTTACAAATCATAACCCTGCATCTGCACAGTTATCCAGTATTTATACCAGAACGCAGGCTAAGGTCCTAACAAGATATTTTCCCAAATCTAATCTTTATCTAACAAACTATTATTCTTATCCACAACATTCAACTAATGACTACAAGACATCTGTCAATTAACAACATTAGCTCGCCACAATGTTGTACAATTATCACTAATAACAGTATCCTATCACAACCAATGCTTGCATCTTCCTACCTGTCTTGTTGTCAGCAAGGATTCTTGTAGCCCGATATTGTTGTTTTGTTTGTCTTATATTGTTGTATTCAATGTGCAGGAAAACAGCTGGTTCCGACAGAGAGCTCGAAGGAAGGAGGAAGAGAGTCAATGAGTTGGAGAAAATCTATATGGACATGGCAATGCAGAAGGAATTACAGGTATTGACATCTACATTTGTTTCGTTAGTTCTGGGTTTTTTGTTGTCCTGGAAAATTTTGAAAACAATTCCATCTAAATTAACAGAAAAAGAGGTAAAACCCGCAAACTATGTGAAGATGAGATTGTCTCCCCAACATCCAACGCTGCATGCAAGTGGTGGGCAGAGCGGAAGCGTTGAAAAGGTGTGTGTTGATCCATTGTTAATTTATTAGCCTTGTTTATCAGTTAAACATTGTGTACTCCTCGGTGCAATGGAAATCATGCATTTAACTCAACATGTTTCTGTGATTTTGCAAGGAATGAGGCTGCTATAGATACCTAGGACCCCGGAAAAAAGTCTGGGCCTGACGTACCATGATTTTCCATGTAACGGAAGTTTTGATCTACATATGAACATGTCACAAGTGATACAGTCAGATACATTTGCTCTCTTTTAGGGAAGAAGCAACTGCGTTTTTTTGTCTCTGGTAGTCCGACCCTAGCGGGACTTATAACAAAACTGACATTCGCGTCGTTTATTAATATCATCAGTGTTAAGCTCTTCAATATGTGCAATTTGGTAGACAACTCTGGTTTTGCTTTTTGTGAGGTTATATGGTGGTGCAATTCGACTGCCCCATCTCCGACCAAATACTTTTCAAGAGTATTTTTGGAAACTCCCTTCACATTACTTGTAAGTTTGGCTTGAGATTTCCTAATCCAATCGAAAGGTCCAGAGAATCGAAAATAGTCTGAAAACCATCTCCAAATGAGGGTTAGGCCAAAGGGCCCGTGGGCCCCACAGGACAAAAAAGTACCAACCCAACTAGCCAGCCCATGGCCAGGTCACAAATTTGAACGCAACGGCTAGCTGCTAGCTGTTATATTTGATTTTTTTTTATACAAATTAAAAAAAAAATTAAAAATTCTATTTTTTTTTCTTATAACTTCCTAAGCCATAACATTAAATAACATTAAGTAATATGAAAAATTATTAGTTTTTAAATTTAAATAATAAATTATGTTTGACCCTATGACCCTTTGACCCTCGGTTGGAGATGGTTTTTTGTCATAGGGCTATGTTTGACCCTATGACCATTTGGCCCTCGGTTGAAGATGGTAAGAAATATGGTCCTGCATTGTTCATTAAAAAAAATAATTTCTTGGAGGGCCAGAGGGTTAAAATGAGTCATCTGGCCCTTAGCCCTCCTTCGGTTGGAGATGGCCTTGGGATAAAGGGATTTATAGTGGTTTTTTATGGGTGAGTGTAAGTACTTATTAGAGTTTTCCTCCTAAATTGTACATCTGTGGACCCCAATTGGATCACACAATTTCCTATAGGTGGACTCCTACCCAAACAAGATTTGCTAGATTACTACGGTTGAAAAGAGAGGACCAATATATGTGGTGTGTGTGCACAAACAAGCATGCAACAATTTGGAGGAAGAAAAGAGAAATATATCGTTTGCTAAAAAGCAATAATATTCATCCGATACGATTCAGAAAAGAGATTAATTTGTCGGAAAGATTAATGGGGAAGAGAACCAACGGAGAAGCAGCTCGAAACTGTTTTCTGTTGGCCCTTCTGCTACCAAGGCAGCTGCGTTGAGTGCTTCATTGACATGAACAACTCAATGGTATGGTGGTTGTTTGTTCCGTTTGCCTTGCAAGTTACAACACAACCACCACACCGTTGACTAAACCCATCGACGTTCACAAGGAGTGCCTTGACAAATACAGCCGCACTCTCGATCAATGATAATGCTCATTGCTCACTGCTTGATGCTCTTAGCCTCAGGAAGCTGATCAATAGGTTTCTTCATGTCCAAATCTTTCTACTTCTTGACTTGTAATTTCTGACTTTCAATTGTTTGTTTAGGGATACATTAGGGTTTATATTTGGAATAATCCATCTTAGAATTCCTCATCTTCTCGTTTTTGTTTAATTTCTCGTTCATGCTGCATGCTCGTCATACACGTTCATAAAACAGTCAACCTGAACACGACCCATTATAAATGAGTGAGTAGCCTCTTGACACGCGCTCACAAAACACGAATTGCCATTTGTGTCCATCGACATAACTTTTTAAAAATATGTTTTAACGGTTTCACTATCATGGAAAGTGCTACCAATTTCCGGTAAACGAATTTCAGTTTCATAATTGCTAGCAAATATTTGACTAGTAGATTTGATTCAACGGTCTTCAATTACTCAATTCAATTCAAACTGGTAAATCAAATTCAACGGTCAAATGTGCCACAAAGTGCTTGTAAGCGTTAGCAAAAATGGTGCGAACAGAAGAGTGAAAGTTGTGAAACCATACAGCACAAGAACCATATGATTTGAAGCACTGTCATTAAGTATGTAAACCCACAAAGAACACATCCAAAAAGAAAGAAGCAAAAGAAGCTCCCACAATCTCTTCTATCTATCAAGAAGCTAGAAGAAGACAATTATATTCACAAACATTACTAAACTACAACCCTAACTTTAAAATCCGACTCGATTTCCAGACACAGAGAAACAATTACCTAATTTAACCTACCAGACAGAACTAAATCTGAAATGGAACACATTAATCCCGCAGCGATTGTCATTTCAGTCATCATCACCACCGACATTCTTGGATGAGGCACCGGTCTTCTTTGGGAGCAGAAGGTTGTGAATGTTGGGCATCACACCACCATTTGCAATTGTCACATCACCAAGAAGCTTGCTGAGCTCCTCGTCGTTGCGCACAGCAAGCTGAATGTGGCGTGGTACAATGCGAGTCTTCTTGTTGTCTCTTGCAGCATTACCAGCCAATTCCAGAACCTGTAAAATTGACCAAATTAAAACAACATTAGAATCAAAACCCTAATTTGAAAAAAGAAAATCAACTCAGAACCATAACTTCAGCAAAGAAAAGATCACAACTTTGAAAGTCACACAAACAACTACTTAATTAACAACTACACTGGAAGGGAAAGCACATTGAGGGAACAAATTCTAATTCTAATTCAAATCCCCATGAAAATCCACCAATCTATTTAAATCACAGTAATCCAATAACCGTATCCTCACGAAAATATAATAAAATAAATACCCAACAAAAAGAACCCTAATTTTTAAAAATTGAACAATGCCTCAACAATATCGACCTCCGGATCATAATTCTTAAGCTCAAAGCCCCCTACTTTCATACGAAAAAAGAAATAAAACCAAATTAATTCAGCCAACAATAAAATAAATGAATAAAATTATTATGAAAAATAAATTAATTAATTCAAGAAAAGTAAAAAACATAGATCCAGGATCCTAATATTGGTTCATCAGAAACAGATGAAGAACAAATCGTCAAAATTTCACATTTTCTAATGTTCTATATGTAATTCCCGCACAGAAATGCTAAATCGAAACAAAATCTTTCCCAATTCGAAACCCTAACCCTAGATTCACAAAAAGGGGAGAAGAAACACACACACAGATGCAAATAAAGAGGAATAACAAGATCGAGAAAGAGGGTTATACCTCAGCGGCAAGGTATTCAAGGACAGCGGCGAGGTAGACTGGAGCTCCGGCACCGACACGTTCGGCGTACTTTCCTGCTTTCAGGAAACGGGCAATACGACCGACAGGGAATTGCAAACCGGCCTTGCTGGACCGCGATGTGGCCTTCTTAGCGGCTCCGGATCCCAAGGCTTTGCCACGACCCGCCATTGATGGACTTCCAAGAACAATTTGAGCGAGAGAGAGAGAGAGAGGGGATAGGGGAAATAGAAGAGAAGCGATCGAGAGAAACAGAGAGTTTGGTGGTATGGAGGAGGACTGTGACGGTTTTCAGGTATTTATAGGGGTTGGGATTTGAACATGGGCCAATAGGTTGAAGTTTGCGGATCGAGAACGAAAGCCGTCGATTAGATAGCTATTGGACGGAGGGGATTCGTTGAGTGAGAGAAGCTTCAAACATTCTGTTCTGGTTACATTTGTTGAAGTGACGAAACTAGCCTTGTCTTTAGTGTTACGTAACGTTATTGATTTATTTTTGGAAGTTTGCTAGATACACCACATTCATCTAAACTACGAGAATTCGAGCGTGCTTGCGTTAGAGCACAACCAAATATGGTGCCAAATTCTTACTTGATTGAGTATGCATGAAAATATTACTATGAAAAGCATGACAAGTATACGTGCAACGGATAAAACATCTAAACTAAGAAATATAGTTACATAGGACAAAAAGATATCCACAATATAAAGGAAAGAGCCAATTCTCATAATTGTTTAATACCTGGAGTCTTCTTTGGAATTGACCTTAGAACAAGTCACTACCATATTGTGCCCATCAAGGATTGCAAATTTAAAATGTCATTGAAACAAAATTTCGTCGTGCTCAGTATTTGTAGTTCTATGAGCATATGCTCCATCACAAATCAACTATCTATAATTGAAATCCCACCACGGGACCCCAAAGACCCAAAATCTTAGTTTTGATTGATTTAAGTAATATCCAATATTAGCATAATTCAAGGTTTAGATGGTTCAATCAAAGCCCACTACTGCTTAATTATGAAATGGACACTCTCACTACCGTATCACGCGAGTTAGATTTAATACGTGTTATGATAAATTGGTCGTTAGGTAAATACTAATGAGCCCTAAAACTCGATTTTCGAAAGTTTTTTATACTAGCATTCATGTTTACTTAAAAAGTTGCTAAAAAATTCAAGTGGCCCTTTACCACAGTGGTGTGGAAAAATGTTGTACCCTTGCATGACGGCATAAGTTCGAACCCCATCGGTGGTTAATCTAACATTTAACTTACTAACGCTATCGTTTCTCTCAAGAAAAAAATTCCCTTTATTTAACCACATCCAGTACGAATGGACCACACATACCAGAATTTCAAGATGACGGTTTTATTTTTGAAGTCGTGAGCAAACCATCTTCTCCACCTCGATGGGTCTAGCATAACTGTCCGTCATGATGTATTTCCAACACATGAGTCTCTTTCCCACCTCTCTGCCAATTGGGCTCAAGCAGGTTGGGCATAGATCTTCGGAGGTCCCTTGGGTGTTTCCCCTGCTATAGCAGGCCAATTGCCAAATGGGAGAGGGAATGTGGAGTACAAGGGGTGGTACACCCCTAATAAGGCAGAAAACTCAAAGGGGATGACTGGGTACACCACGTGTGACTAGGTACACCGCTTGTCGGTATGACTGGGTAGCCCTTCATCAGTTTCAGTTTTCTTGGGTTCGTCATATTTGTTCATTCTGAAAGTGTAAACAGTCGATGAAATGTAATCTTTGTGGTACTTCTCCACACCGTAATTTTCATACACCATTCTTGTCACAGTTTGATCTAGTTCTGCCAGCACTTTTGCATAAGGTCAGCACTCTCACTGGCCAGCCAACAAAGAACGAACTGTATATTAGGAGTGTAAATTGAAGTAAATGATCAATATATCTTTGTGTGTGTATGTGTTGGGGAAATGCAGCAGAAATTATTATATCTTATACCTACCGAAATTGATCGTTTCCATTGGGCCAAAAAAGAGGTGTGAATTGTTGAATTTTTTGAGGGTCTTAGCCGTTAAAAATCCCCGTAGGATTGTTGCCCAGAACTGGAACGTGCAGCATAAAAAGGCTTTTCAGGAATATGGTTAGAGGGATCAAACAAGTCGCCAAATGTAGAGAAGAAGGTGTTGGCAAGTTCCTTTGGAACTTTGTTGGGTAGGATTGCCGTGAAACAGCCGAGCTCTTGGGTAGGATTGGTCCAACGTAAAATTTATATAGAAATCAAACTTCAAATTTTCTTTTACGATACCTATCAGCGAGTGATTAGGAATAAAATATTACTAATGAGAAACTTGCATTCGAAGACCTTGGTATTTAATTAATTAATATACGTCATACAGCTGTGCAAGTTATTAATTAACAATTCGTCCCACCTCCACCTTGTGGAGAAATTTTCCATTGTGACACATAAGGTACATCACGTGTTATATAATAACTAGAGGAAAACTTTATTTTTTAAGTTGTTAATTTTCTAACACAAATATCTCATCAAATGCTTATGTTTTCTTATGATTTTTCTTATTTGGATGCTGCAATCTTGTTCTAGGATTAGGGTTTTTTGGTTTGGGGTTTATCAGGATTTGAAACCCTAATTGCTGAATATAAAAGCGTGTGGTTTTCGGGTTTGGGATTTGTTGTTTGAATAGTACTGCATATAGAATTATGAATATATATGCTTGTAGTTTTCTGGTTTCGAATCTGTTGTTTGAATTAGACGTGTGGTTTTTTGTCTTTTAATTTTGTGATTTTTCCAAACTAACTCGTTGGAGAGTTGTTGTGGTTGTTGTGAAATTTGGATTCCAAACCTATTTTCCCATCTTCTGGAGAGTTGTATTACTTCTTACATCTTCTGGAGAGTTGTTTTGGTAGTGAGACATTGGGTGGATTGAGGGTGTAACTTGGGAGTGAAACATTCATTGTTTGGTATCCAACGAAGGGAAGGCAGTCGGTGCATGTCACGTCAGGAGCTATGATTTTCAGCCATTTCGATTGTAGTCCCATGTGCATTTGCTCAGTTAAATGATTTTGTAATTGTACTCTATGTACATTGCTTTTTATTTTATTATTGTTTGACCGGTCTTTTATTCAATTTGTTTGTTTTGAAATTTTATGCGTGTAGGAAATGTATGACTAATAAAAGAATTATAATGTATTAGTAAGATTATAAATGGGAGATTCACAACAAGAAAAGGAAAAAGGAAACTATAATCAGTAGTCTGTGGAAGAGAGCAACATGTTGTTACAACTACTTGTTGAGGCCATAAAAAATGGATAGCGACATGCTAGCGGCATAATAAGCAAGCAAATAAATGAAGCCAAAATTGTTCCGGTGCTCAATGAAAAACTTGGGTGTCAAACATGTCAAGACCATGTTAAGAATTGTGTGAAAATAGTGAGTGTTTAGAGTTTTTTGTATAGCGAAAAGTTTATATCAAAATTTGGTGGAGATGAAGCTATTTAGATGAGGAGGCGACCGGCCATAGTGTTAGGGAGTAGCCTACACATGGCGGCATCCTATTAACCAAGGTATGTCATTCGCTGGATGAATGAGAAAAGGTGGCACGTATATTAAAACACCCTTTTGTTTATAGTATTGCTAATATGATGTTGTTACCCTGTTTATACATTACTAATGCTGGATAATAGTTTGATATCGATATATTATTGGATCGGAACACTATGGCCACATCAACAGTCCAACCATCCTCAAAAGAAAAAGAAAAAAACCCCTTGTACCCCACATTCCCTCTCCCCTTTGAGTTTTCTGCCTTATTATAGGAGTGCCCATACACAAGAATATAGTGGCGAAGCCATGTGAGGGTGAGGAGTGGCGGCCGCCACTCCCCTCACCGGAAATGAAGCCCAGGAGTGAGTACCAGCCCCTCATCTCATCGAAAATGAAGCCCTATTTTTTGCTGCAGTTGCACAAACGTTGTGCGTGCAATGGCAAGCCATACAGACGCAAGTAGGTGTGGTTGCACCTCCGGTCATCGGAACTCGACTCTAAGAGCGATAAGCCATCCCTTTAGACTGGACGTCATTCCTCTGAACCTGCAATAAAATAGTGAAATTTTCACACATCTTCTCGCAAGGAAGAAGAACTGTAACATATTTCAGTTTATTGGCTTTAAGAGGAACGGTGCCGTTACGTTTATTGGTTTTAAGAGGTACTGTGCCGTTACGTTTATTGGCTTTAATGGAACGATGATGTTATGGGTATAGGCTTTTGACTTAGTTATATCTACAACCCACATGAAACTGGTTCGGCCTAATTTTTGGGCTCTTTTTCGTTTTTCTTTTTATTTCATTTAATATTTTATTTAAAGTGAAGGCATTTTGGTTATGTGATTATCCCTCGATTTCATTTTTTTAGTTGTTTTAATTTTGTCAAGTTGCCACTTAGTACTACAGTCTAATGTAAGTGATAGGTCTTAGGTTCAATTCACGCTGTTTATACCATATTTAGGGCCTCGTATATTTGGGCCTTGGGCCTTGTATTTGGGCCTCACACTAAAGCCCATACTTTGTAAAAGAGGAGGAGCCCCTTATTCTATAAAAGGGGACTCCTCCCCTCATTCTAGGAGAGGCAAAGAGCCAGCTTAAGAAGGCTAAGAGAAGCTCTCATTACATTGAGGAGAGACCTCACACCACCGAGGCTCTCCTCTCCCTTCTCTTCTCTCTCTGGGGGTCTTCCCCTCAAACTCTTGTATCCATACAATTACAGAGAAACAGAATCAACTACAGTGTGGACATAGCCCAAACATTGGGGTGAACCACGATAAAATCCTTGTGTTCTTTGTGTTCTTGAGCGTTTGTGCAGATTCACGGTCGGATTTACGTTGTTCCAAGACATCCGGTTTTGTGCATCAACATTTGGCGCCGTCTGTGGGAATCGACACAAAAAGCTATGTCGGTTCTCTTTCATTTTTTCATCAAATCTCACCACTGTGAATCTGCAAAAGCATAAAAAACCAAGAACACCACACTCTCTCTGCCTCTTTCTCTCTCCCCATGGTTTCTTCAACTTCAATTCTGACTTTGAATTTGGCATTTGGGCCTCTTGCATATTTGCAGTATGAAATATCTGCATACAAGATCCCCACTTCTTGACAGTTTTCGATCTTCAACCTTCAACCATATCAAAACGGCGTTGTCCTGATCCCCGATCGGACCTTCTAGATCGAATCACTTTACGCTTTCCTGAAGCTTCAAGTCCTTTAAGATGGCAGATAACGACGAGGGAGGAGGCTCGGAGACCCTTCTTCGCCTCTCTCCACCCAGCCGCTCGATCGCCAGGTTCAGGCCAATTTCCAGATCGTGCTTCCCTTCCAATTTCCAGATTCTATTGTCTCTCCAGGGCCAGCCGCACGACTCCGCCGTTGCCGACACCACCGTAGCTGCCCAGTTTATTCACTCTCTCATCTCTCCGGGGCCAAAATCTCCACGCCCAACACCTGTTTGAGGAGATCACCCACTAAAGAGTCCCGTCGCCGGTTATGTCTTCCAAAGCTGTTTCCGCTTCTTGCTGCTCAGCAGAGCCTCACTTTCTCTCCCATCTTCCTCCGAACCAAATGCAACCCAGATGGCCATCAACAGGGACTCCACTTCCTTTCCAATGATTGGCAAGATTGGGTCCTACACTGTCTTTATGACGCCGCCCGAACCGGTTTTTGAATCTTCCCGGAAAATGATCGCGCCGGTCTTTGAGTCCCCCAAAAAGGCGGCCCCGCCCCCGGTCCAGCAGACGCCTCAGCAATTGCTGAAGCCCATTGCCGTATCTTCAGATTCCTCGTCCGATGGCTCGATGTCAAGGATTTTCTAAGAATGCGGTCACCAAAGTGCAGAAGGCTCATTCAAGTTTGGATGACCATTGGCACGCTATTTTGGATTAAATCAGTCAAGATATCAGTGAGCGCTAGATGATTATTACCAGAGCAAGGGAGTGATGTTGATGGAAGCTGATATAAGCAACTAAGTTCAATCAAGGTCCAGAATCAAGGCGAGAAGAGGTCAAGTCACTGACCCGCACAACATAGCCGAAAGATTACGGAGAGAGAGAATTGCAGAGAGGATGAAGGCTCTGCAGGAGCTCGTTCCCAATGAAAGCAAGCCGGGTTCAACGCAGCTGCGAGGTGTAGGCAAACACGACAGAGACAGAGACAGCAAAAGCAAAGCAAAATAGAAAAAGGAAAAGCAGAAAGCCCTACCTCATGAATGATGCTCTCTAATGGTCTTCCATATCTCTGCACAATCTTCAACTGCATCATCATCACAGCCCTAAGAATAATGCAGTAATGGGTTATCTTCAACAACCCACTTGGACAAAGGGAATAACTCTACGCATGTGCTAAATCCGACCCATGCCATCCTGTCCATCCATCAGCTTGTCAAAAGAAACAAAAACAAAAAGAGTAAAGGTAAAGCAGGTTTCTTTAAAAGCACACAGCTGGAAAGTGGTCGATGATAAAGGAATTCAGACATCTAATGATGCCAAGTTCTTGCCATCCCACTACAAGGTCCCAACATCTCATTGTGTCGGTGCCTTGGGACGTTGGATTGACAAGATACCGAGCACCATTATTCCTAAAAAGAGCGGTCCTCCATGAAAGCGAACGCTAAAGCAAAAAAAAAAAAAAAAAGCATAAAAAAAAAAAAAAAAAAAAAAAAACAAGGAATAAACACATCACCCGAATGATGTAATTTATCTTTCGGAGACATCTGTATCAACCCCATCAGAGGGTAATATGTATAAACCCCATCAGAGGGTCAAAAAAAAAAAAAAAAAATGGGCTGACATGTTGTGGAGGGCAAAGGCCCATAGGCCTGAAATGGCACCAACCAGGTGATCAAAATTACGCCCAGTACTCCAAATTATACATGAGCATTACTCATGTCATTCATACATAAACATTCATGAGCATCAGTCATGACAATCATACATAAACATCCATGACCATCATTCATGTCCACATTCATGAGCATCACTCATGTTAACATTCATGAGCATCACTCATGACAACATCCATGAGCATCACTCATGTCACTCAACATAAACATTCATGAGCATCACTCATGCCAATCAGCTTCAAAGCTTGATTTACAAAGCTCTAGCGTTAAAAGCGTCATTTACAGAGCTCTAGCTTCAAAGCTTCACTTGCAAAGCTTCACCTACAAAGCTTCAGTGTAGGGTATACAAATACCACATCCGAACAACCGCCACTTCGGCCCATACATGGATTCAATTTGAAGTATCCAGCCAACAGACTCTATTGACCGAAGACTTGGGGGACTACATTATGTACCATATATTGGGCCTCAACTGGGCCTCATAAAAAATACTTGGGGGACTTAACCCATTACTTATGTATTGAGGAGCGAGCCCTTATTCTATAAAAGGGACTTCCTCACTTTCATTAGAGAGCACCCATCATTTATGTACTGAGGAGCGAACCCTTATTTTATAAAAGGGACTCCCTCACCTTCAAACGCCGCAAGCCGAGCCAACCATGGCAACATAAGCCACGAGCCGAGCAGCCTCGCAGCGTGTGCTACTTCTAGTTGAGCATCATTTCAGATTGGGCACCGCCTCATATCGAGCATCAGTTCTAGACAACATTTAGTTACTTCGGCCCACACATGGACTGAATTTCAAGTCTCCAGCCAAAAGACTCTCTTGATTGAAGACTTGGGGGACTACTGTTTATACCATATTTAGGGCCTCGTATATTTGGGCCTTGGGCCTTGTATTTGGGCCTCACACTAAAGCCCATACTTTGTAAAAGAGGAGGAGCCCCTTATTCTATAAAAGGGGACTCCTCCCCTCATTCTAGGAGAGGCAAAAGAGCCAGCTTAAGAAGGCTAAGAGAAGCTCTCATTACATTGAGGAGAGACCTCACACCACCGAGGCTCTCCTCTCCCTTCTCTTCTCTCTCTGGGGGTCTTCCCCTCAAACTCTTGTATCCATACAATTACAGAGAAACAGAATCAACTACAGTGTGGACGTAGCCCAAACATTGGGGTGAACCACGATAAAATCCTTGTGTTCTTTGTGTTCTTGAGCGTTTGTGCAGATTCACGGTCGGATTTACGTTGTTCCAAGACATCCGGTTTTGTGCATCAACACACGCCAAAGGAGAATTTGAACCATATTATTGCTAAGACTTAGCCCACTCCCCCACCCCTTAATGATAATATCGTTTGTTCAAAAAAAAAAAATTGTCAAGTTGGTTATTGTGTCTTTTGTTAGACATCTCTAATCTACTTTATGAATTTAATGACAGTATATAATTCAGTTAAGAACCATAATTTTGAGAATGTTAATCAAATGAATATAATTTAAGGAAAACTAATGAAAAGGGCTTGAAAACTTTGAGTTTTAATGATAAGGACAAAATAAAGGGTAAAGTGAATAGTACCAGGATTGACTTTTTAGTGTAAAAATGTGGTTTTTCGTTAAAGTGAACAGTACCATGTTCTTTTCGTTAAAGTTCCCTATAATTTATTAGTACTCACATCGTCGATATACATTCCACTAAAAAGTATACATGTTAACTTTTTATCAGAATACCACACTTAACAAAAATGATATTCTTTTCATATACTTGTACCATCTCTTTAATAGAGATGAGATTCACATGTATTGACGGACTCTACTTCTATTAAAGAGTTTCCCTTAAACACCAACACATTGCCCCCATCAACTCGCATGACCAACACCACAACGCAGCTAACACAGCCACCATCACTCACAAACGGATCGCCTGCTAGGACACATCTAAAATTGGCTAATTGCATTCATATTCATATTTGGATGAGGATTTTCTAAGTTCCAAAGGAATGATGCCAAATTATTAGGTAAAGTACCACAAAATATGAACGACATTGTAACTTGTTTATATTGACAAATTATGAATGACATTAATATTATTTAGTATATAAAATGATGTGGGTGTCGATATTTTTTTGAACCTTTTACCTTTTGAAATTTTGCCCCTTCCCCCGAAAATTCCTAACTTCGCCACTGCAAGAATATCTCCTTAAATATTTCAATTCAACATGTACCCATGACTCATAAGCAGCATGCTTATTAATTTGGAGAAACAAAAGTAAAATAAGAAAATAGATGAAAGAAAAAAGAAAGAGAACCCGAAGAGGGATTTGGACCAAAGGATATCAAATGGCACATTAATTATGCCTTTGTGGCATACTCATATGCACCTGTACCAGCAATTCTCCGTGCTCTAAGGAAGTCCAAATGATTTATAGGCTTGTACAGTAAAGGGTGGTCTTCGTCCACGAGCTCATTTGGTACGTGTATCACCCCTTTGTTCCTTGCGAAGACACCAAACATGTATCTTACATCATTTTCCCTCAAGGTCACTTTATGTCTACAAGGTCGAATTCTGTTGTTGCTCCAAATCTAGGCAAAACAATCACGCACATATCCTTGTTGAGATACAATAATGTTAACTAACATGAAATATGAGCCGGTTAACAAAACTCTATGAGAAATACAAAGATATATTCAAGAGTAGAGTACATAAGTATTATGCGATATAATATACCTGAAATGCGTCACCTGCTAAGAATATGACCGACGAAGGTGGAGGCTCAAAAAGTACCCAGTCATCGCCCTTTGTATTTATTTCCAGACCGCTGACATGGTTTTGATGGATTATGGTGGAAAATGTCCTGTCGGTATGACTGGGAAACCCTACATTAGTTTCAATTTTCTTGGGTTCGTCATATTTCATCATTCTGAAAGAGTATACAGTCGATTGAATGAGATCGTCGTGGTACTTCTCCACACCGTAATTTTCAAACACCATTCTTGTCACAGTTTGATCTAGTTCTGCCAGCACTTTTGCATAAAGATCAGCACTCTCACTGCCCAGCCAACGAAGAACAAACTATTAGGAGTGTAAATTGAAGTAAATGATCAATATATCTTTGTGTGTGTGTAAATGTTGGGGAAATGCAGCAGAATTTATTATATCTTATATATACCGAAATTGATCGTTTCCATTGGACCAAAATAGACGTGTGAATTGTTAAACATTTTGAGGGTCTGTGCCGTTCAAAATCCCGTAGGATTGATGCCCATAACTGGAATGTGCAGCATAAAAAGGCTTTTCGGGAATATCGTTTGACGGATCAAACAAGTCGCCAAATGTAGAGAAGAAGGTGTTGGCAATTTCCTTTGGAACTTTGTTGGGTAGGATTGCCGTGAAACAGCCGAGCTCTTGGAGTGCATGTGTTAACAATAGCTATGGAAGCTGAAAGATCAGGAACGACTAGAGAGAGAAAGAGAGAAAGCTCAAAAGAGAGGGAAACTTTCTAACTGATTTATTATTTCAGTTGCTACCTTATTACAAGAGATATTTCACTATAAATACATGTTGACCTATCTATCTCAACTCATATAATCCAATGACACATGTCATAATCTTGACCACTAATATACTCTAACATTCCCCCTCAATCTTATATCTTCGGCGAACCAAGCATAAGATTGGAACAATGAGTGGTAAACAATGGAGAACATAAACCCTTTGTGAAAATATCGGCATATTGAGCTGTGGAAGCAACAAATTGCAGAGAGATAACACCTTGTTGAACCCTCTCTCTCACAAAATGACAATCCACCTCTATGTGTTTGGCTTTAGAATGCAATACCGGATTTGTAGCCAAAGCCATAGCAGAGACGTTGTCACAATGTAAACTGGGAGGAGAGGAAATGTCAAGATGAAGGTCCTGCAAAAGTTGTTGAAGCCAAACAACTTCGGCAGTGGTAGTGGCCATAGCCCTGTATTCAGCCTCTGTCGATGATCGGCTAACTGTGTGTTGTTTCTTAGAACTCCAAGAAATGGGATTGGAGCCTAAAAACACAACAAAACCTGTAGTAGACCGCCGATCATTGGGATCACTAGCCTAATCAGCATCTGTGTAAGCTCGTAAACACAGAGAACCAGGTTGAAAGAAGATTCCCCAGTCCAAAGTACCGCGGAGATAGCGAAGAATCCGCTTGACAGCAACATAATGAGATTCCAGAGGAGAATGCATAAATTGGCACACTTGATTCACATAATAGGCAATATCAGGCCGTGTAAAGGTTAAGTATTGAAGAGCTCCGACAATGCTCCTGTAATGTGTTGGATCGGAATAACAAGGACTACCATGAGTCAGAAGTTTCTGATTAGGATGACAGGGTGTGATACATGGTTTACACTCGAGCATATTCGTCCTTTGCAAGAGATCATGGACATATTTAGACTGATGCACAAATAATCCCGGAGATTGATAGGCGATTTGCAAGCCAAGAAAATAGTGGAGAATCCCTAAGTCCTTCATGTCAAACTCAGTGGTTAACTTAGAGATAACAGACTGAACACAAGCATCACTATCACCAGTAAGAATAATGTCATCCACATATAACAGTAACACAACCATGTTGGTACCATTATGTTGAACAAACATTGAAGGATCGGCATAAGAAGACTTAAAACCCAATGAAAGTAAGAAGGTGGTGAACCTGTCATTCCAAGCTCGGGGAGCTTGTTTGAGACCATAAGTGACCGTTGTAATTTGCAAACATAGTCGGGATGAGCCTTGTTAACGAAACCCTGTGGCTGAGACATATACACCTCTTCCTCAAGAAATCCATGTAAAAATGCATTCTTGACATCAAGTTGTTTCAGTTTCCAACCTTGAGTGGCTGCAAGAGATAGAATGAGTCTCACAGTAGTTGGCTTCACCACTGGACTGAATGTTCCATAATAATCCAAACCAGCTTCTTGAGAAAAACCTTTGGCCACCAAACGAGCCTTATATCTGGCAACTGACCCATCGGGATGTCGTTTGAATTTGTATATCCATTTACAACCCACGAAATTTTTATTGGGTGGTAATGGAACAAGGTGCCAGGTATGTTGCTGTAGTAATGCATCCATTTCTTCTTGCATAGCAAGCTGCCACTGTGGAGACTTAGAAGCTGCAGAATAAGTCGTTGGTTCTTTAACAGAATCAAGATGAAAGGAAGTATGATAAACCTTTTTCTTCTTAGATATCCCAGATTTAGACCGTGTCTGCATAGAATGGAAATTCTGAGAATGCAATGGAACTAGTTGTAACTCAGGAGCTTGAGAAGTAGTAGTATCTGGATGTAAGTTCGAACCCATATGAGTTGGAGAAGTAGTAGCATTTGGAGGTAATGAGGAACCCATGGCAGAATCAGAGATTAACCCCATTGATGAATCTGAGACTGAATTAGAGATAGCCGGCGATGTGGAGACAAGATCACCTTGATGGAGAATATGGGACTGAGTAACTGGACTAGTAGTATGGGAAAATGCAAGAACAATGGCACGAGGTAAGAGATTATGATTTAAGGAATGATGCTCAAATGAGTTTGAATGAGGGACAGAGAGTGGGACAACTGATGACAAAGATGCAGTAGACTGTAGATGGTGAAGGGTAGTGAACCAGGAAACTGACTTTCATCAAACAAGACATGTCGAGACACAATTAACTTGTTATCTTTGACAGAGTAACAAATATAACCTTTATACTGAGATGCATACCCCAAAAAAAATACAAACAGTGGTTTTTGGATCAAGTTTGGTTGTTCTGTAGGGTTTCAAAGAGGGAAAACAAGTACAACAAAAAATGCGTAAGTGAGCAAGTTGAGGAGGTGATTTATGCAAGACCTCAAAGGGAGATTTCATGAGTAAAGTGGAGGTTGGCATCCTATTGATAAGATAGGTTGCAGTAGCACATGCATGGTACCAAAAAATAGAAGGTAATGAAGCTTGCTGCAAGAGAGTAATGGCAGTCTCAACAACATGCCTGTTTTTCCTCTCGGCTAACCCATTCTGCTCAGGGGTATAAGGACAAGACTTTTGATGAGTTATACCATTGTCCCGAAGAAAATACTGAAAAGAAGCACCAATATATTCCCCACCCCCATCACTTTGAAGAGTTTTAATATGAGCATCAAAAGAATTCAATACAAGGGAATGAAATTGCACAAAATGACCAAAGACAACAGCTTTATTGATGATTGGAAAAATCCATGTATACCTAGTACATTCGTCTATGAAAGAGACATAATATCTATACCCCTCAATAGACATACCAGGTGCAGGCCCCCATACATCAGAATGTATAACTGCAAAAGGAAGTACAGATTTTGAAGCAGGAGAAGGAAAAGGAAGTTTAGTAAACTTTCCTTCCAAACAGGGAGTACAAGGCTGAGATGGTGCAGTACAATGGAAAGGAATGGCAGACTTACTAAGAACTAGCTTAACTATGTGATTAGTAGGATGACCCATGCGACGGTGCCACAATGAAGAAGACACCTTTTGACCAAGAAATGCTGCTGGTAAGACCTTTGATTTTGGAAGCACAGGAAGAGGATAAACGGCATGATTACTCAGTCCTTGGAACAATATTCTCTCAGTGATCTTGTCCTGTATACAGAGAGAAAACTCATCAATGATACATTGACAATTATTATCTTTGCATAATTGATGCATAGACAATAAGTGTTGGGACAAACGAGGAACATGCAATACAGATTGAAGTTTAAAAGTATGAGACTTGGTTGGAGGGTTAGATTTGCCAATATGAGCAATAACCAAACCTTCACCACTAGCACCAGTGACAGTATCCGTATGAGGATAAGGAAAGGCCATCTGAAGATTAGAAATATCAGAGGTCATGTGATGAGTAGCGCCGGAGTCAAGAAGCCAGAACTCTTGTTGGGGTGCAGATGGAGTGGGAGTAGCTTGAGCCGTCATAGCCACAGGAGAATGAGAAGAACCACTCATGCCAGAGGACTGACCATTGAAATGCATGCCAGATGACTGACTATTGAAATTCATAGACTGGTGTGAGGCTGGAGACTGTTGAGACTGGAACTGTGGAAAATGTGGTTGATAATACTGCTGTGATGACTGATATCCCAGAGCTGAAGAATTATTTCTGTCAAAACAAGTTGCAGCCGTATGCCCCACTCTATGGCAAATCTAACAACCATGTTGAAAACAATTGATAGCAGAGTGACCCTTTTTATCACAAATTTGACACTTCTGCATTGGTTGATAACTCTGTGGAAAGATCATTTGTTGTTGTGGTCCGGATGCTGAATGCGATTGAGACTGAGGTGAATACTGATTTCCACCAAATGAGAACTGTTGTGGAAACTGTCCTTGATTTCCTTGATTACCCTGAAAAAACTTCTTGCCTTTCCCTTTGTGTTTGAAATTATTTCCTCTGAAATTATTGTATGTACCTGAACCACTTTGAGAGACAAAGGCCAAGGGTCCAGGAAAAGGAAGTTGTTGACACTGAGGATAGGGTAATTGTTGCTGTGAAAAGGGTTGTGAGAAAGGAATAGGTAAGAACTGAGGAGGTTGTTGAAGAGGCACATAGGAATATGGTGATTGAGGGCTAGAAGCAAGGCCAAAATAGCTGCCAGATGACCTTCCTTAGTACCAGATACACCTCCAGTGTCATATGCAGATGGAGAATTATGAGCCAACATAGCGGACATGAGAGGAACTTGCTTAATGACTTCATTCAGCGTATCTTCTTCAGCTTTCAATTGAGACCGCAGTTCTTTAAGAGATACCAATGTTTCTCGGCCACGAATGACAGACTTAATAGTGTTATACTCAGGAGGTAAACCCCGTAATGCAACAATAGCAATGTCCTCATCAGAAATTAGAACCCCAACAGCAGTTAAATGATCCCTAGCATCTTTAATCCTCTGAAGATAAGCATCAATGGATTCAGGACCTTTCCTAATATTCTGAAGATCAATCTTCATTTGAACAATACTCGTCCGAGTCATATTTGCAAATCTTTCTCGAAGACTAGTCCACATTTCCTTAAAACTCTTACACCCAATAACACATGATAAAGCAGCAGTCGACAGGGTAGCAGTAATAAGCGTCATTAATGCCTTATCATGTATCTTCCAAACAGTATAAGCATCAGAATTCAACTCAGTGTTATCAGGACATAAAACAGATCCATCAAGAAAACCAAAAATGCCATTTCCATCAAGCAATAACTCCATTTGGAAATTCCAAGTCACATAGTTAGAATCATCAAGTTTGACAGTGACAGTATTACCCACAGTGGGAATGAGAGATGAAATTGGGGATTAAGTAAGAGCCAATTGAGCAGATGTAACCATTGTTTAGCCAGAAACACCACAAAGCAAGCAACGCAAATATACAGAATGCACACCCAGAAGCAATCCACAAATGACGCTACAATCGGA